GAGACTGTTGCAGAAAGGAATGGAGCAGTCCGGCAATGAATGGGACAAGAGGTAATAGGCTTAAATGCAGCAGGTTAGACACTCATTTCTACCAGTAATGATTAGTGACTCACTGGAATGGGCTGTCTGGGGACGTTGTGGTGTATCCGTTCCTGGAGGTCTTTTAAGAACTGGTTTGGCAAAGATGGGGAAAGACATAAGTATAGGATGGACTAAGTGGACTGGGTGAGGTCTCTCAGGCCTATTCTCCTGGGATTCTGGGTAGGTTTCTTCTAGCAACACTTAATATCCCAACCCCAAATCCAACAGCCTCCAAAGGACCTTTGTGGGGAGAGATGTCACAAAGCGCAGTGATGGAGTAGTTGGACTGGTTCCTCCTTGGAGTAACAGGGACATCTGGGCAGATGGAGCAATCCATCATTTGCTTACATATTGGCAGAGATTTCCCCCTCAACATCTGAGTCATTGCGCACCTCTCTTCTGAAGGCACCAGTCCTCTGTTTGCTCAGCTCGAGCCACGGGAGTGAGGATGTTCAAGTGCATGTTTAAAGTCACTGCCAGCGCCTGCCAGCCTGGGGACTCCTGCTGCTGCTCAGCTGTGGCAGGGTGCTGGCAGAAAGCCACAAGGCCTCTGGTCCCCTCTGTTTAGGGGCACAGAGAGCACAGCCTGGGCTCCCTTAGCCCCCTTTCCATGGAGATCCCTGCAGCCTTGAAAGAGAGAATGAACAACTCGCTGGCACCTGCCGGTCTGGAGGAGGTGTTTAATGGTTTTTATGTGTTGCAAATGATTACGCCAGGGACAGGAGCAGAGGAGTTATGCAGAAGTCTTGTTCTGCCAGGCAATCTGTACTAGAATGAGCATCCTCTGGAAGTCAGATTACAGGAGAGGGTAAGCAAAGGCTGCTCTGTGCTGATAATCTCAGCAGAAAGCAGAAGGGGAAGCCTGTAGACGGGCCACACTATTTTCCAGTCTGATTTGGTGTGATGGTCCTTATAGATTTTCCAGTCGAACAGCGATCCCCATTAGAAATTTGACATAGATTGCAGTGTGACGCGTGAGTTGGCTTTTCCTTGCCATCATTTGCAGATCCTTGAAGAGCACTCTAGGGTTTACAGGGTCCCTGAGAAGTATTTCTGTGGCTTTAAAGGGCTGTTGCTATTTTCATGCTGCAATCACGCGTGCCCCAGACCTGCCAGGCCCTTTGCAAACAGCTCGCTCTGCCTCCAGCTGCCTCCCATAGAGTTTTTCTGCTTTCCTGTGCCGTTTCAGGTGCCCTGTGACGTGCACTCCTGCTCTCCACCAGCCAGTCCAACCCACCCCTACAGGGCTCAGAAAGAGCAGCTACAAGACCCCACGATGCTCTGCCTCCTCTCACACCTCCTCTACCACTCCCTGTCCCAGAACGACTGTATTTCTGCCTGTATTGAACCCTCTGCACTGACTGCCTACGAGCCCCTCAGCCCCTGGACAGTTTGCCTCTGGGGATGGGCTCTGCCCTTTTTGATGGTGACAGACCAGCAGTCTGCTGAGATGCCACTTTCTTCCTTGCTCCCCAGCAAATGGAGAATAATTGAAGCTGCTTTAGTGCCACCGTTCTGCTCTTCTCCTCTTCCCATGCAATGCTGTCACCATCCACCACTCCTTGTCTGACATGGCCCATGGGCACCCAGCCGAAACAATTCATTAAGAGGCAAAACCTTTCTCAAACACACTGTGGTGCCAGGAAGCATCTGGAGAAATCTGAAAAACAAACAAACAAGCAAACAAAAAAACCCCATGAAACCCCAAACAACCCCCCCAGCCATCTTCTCATGCCAACAGAAAGAGCAAGAGGAACCTCGGGGCCCTGGCAAGCCCTGTTTGGGCTGGGCTTGCAGTCCCTGCCAGCAGCGAGGAGGTGAACCCAGGGCCCGGGGAAGTCTCCCGGCTGTTTGGGTGCTTCAGGACGGGATGCCAGACGCAGCAGACCACGGCCGCCCGCAACGCCAAGATCAGCCGCTGGGCTTTGGCGGTCGTTGGGTAACGAGTGGCGCATCCTCGGTTATGTGACCCTGCGAGTGACCTACCGTTACGTGCCCAGTGCTCAAAAACATTTTCCTTGGCATGACCCATATTCTAGAACTTTCTGCCCCTTTGGGGGATTAATTGGATTTATGTTTCTCCCTTTTTTTTTCTTTCCCCCAAAAGGCTCTTTGCTGGAAGATGTATTTTGAGTGTAAACGTAACAGGATCTGGAACAGAACCTCAGATAATTAGATATAATGGGCGCTCTTGTTAGTGGAGGGGAGCTGCTGGTTTCTGTCAATTGGTACAGGAGAACACGATGTGCAGTGTTTGACATGGATGAATGCAAAGTGCTGTTTGTGTTTATTGCTCCCAGGTGCTCTGCGGCTAAACCAGGACTATGTAACCAGCTCTACTGAACAGGTCTTCTGGTTTTGTTGCTCTTTGGAGGTGCTTTTTAGTGGTGCTAGAACTAAAGTCCCTGTGTATCCACCACAGCCCCAGATCTGTGGACAGATTGGTTTTTAGTACATCCTCGTAAGCTGGTCACAGGGACTAAAGAGAAAATACTTGATCCATTAGGTATCTGTGCCTTCCTTATCTTTCTCGCTTTTCCTATGTCCTCCCATCTTCCTTCCCACAGTGCAAGGACCAGAAACTTTTGTGAACGTGCTTGTTCTTTTCTTCTCCTCCCACCCCGCCCTTATTTTTTAGATGTTTTATAGTACCAAAGGGATTCACAGCAGCAGGGATGCTCCTGGAACTTAATAGGAAAATAAAAAAGATACTAGAAAAAGGTTGTGATTTATCAGCTGTTTCCTGGCGTGGGACTCTGAGCTGTGCGTGCGTGTCCTGTGCAGACACAGGTTTGCAGTGATGAGTGTGTGCTATGCATGTCTGGTAAGTTCAGCTCAGAGGCAGTATTTAGTCCTCAGGGATGTTTGTCATTTTGAAGTACTCTTTCATTTAGGTGCAAATCAAGATCCAAAGCCTTGTGTGTTATAAATCAACTGCACTTGTCTATCGCTTGTACCACTAGAGAATCTAATCTGCCAAAGGTCAATAAAGGTAAATCAGTCTCCAGTCTCCTTCTGCAAACCACAAGTTTACCAAGTCCGCATTCAAAACAGTAAGGCATAAACGTTCGGTGCTTGAGCTAATCAGATAATCTCTAAATGCATAACCAAGCAGCCCATTTTCCTCCTGATGGAGCGTGAGGTGAGGAGCAGACTTGTCAGAAGCACCGCAGAAGGACAGCAGAGGGGATGGCCCTTCCCCACGCGTTGCAAACCCTTCTGCGCTCCATCCTCTGTTCCCCTCCCCATGCTTGAAGTGGGAAAAATACACAGAGAAATGACACATCCCTGCCTGCCACCGCGAGCGAGGCTGTGTGCTGGGCAGGCGGGGGAAGATCTCGGGGGAGTTACCCATATATTCAGGTGCTACTTTGGTAAGCAGGGAGCAGAATATTTTATTAAAGAATCCCTTTTTTTTTTCTAGTTCTCATCTGTGCAGCAACGCGCAGAGCACGCTCACGGAGCGTTGTGTACTTCTGCCCTGGGCTTCTCTGCCTGGGAGAGGGTGGGGAAAGAACTGACCCCCAAATCCAGATATTGAAATCCAGCTTTTGCAGGTTGATTGGGTGTCATGGGACTCCCAGGACGCAGGACACAGCAAGCCCAGAGCTGTTGACCCACAGAAGGGTCCAGTTTGTTCTTCATACACCATACGGTTGCAGTCTGCAGCCTAGATCCCTACAGTAAAGTTTCCTTTATCCTTTTTTTTAAGCAGCCTCTTTCAAAATCCAACTGTACACCCAAAATGAGCTACCCACACCAATTACAAGCAGAGGAAGATCAAGATAATGGGCTCAAGGCCAGGAGCGGAGTTGCCAGGCACAAAACTCCCACTAATTAGATGGAACAGTTAAGTGACAAAACCCAGGTGGGGGCTGGGGGGCTGGAGTTGGGATTTCTCACTGGAGCAGTGAGCAGGCGGCTTAAAGGGTATGTGCAAGATGCGAGGTGGAAATCTCCATCCTTTGGCCGATGTCTGTGGTTGCTGGGGTTTGGCAAGGGGCTTGTAGCGTGTCTGCATCCGAGTGTGACCGGGACTGTGAGGAGCGTGGGTGTGCTGACGGCGGCAGGAGCCGGGGGTTGGGTGCCGGGGCTCGGCTCCGGATGCCATGCAGGCACCTGGGGCTGATCCAGACCCTGCACCAGATGAGGATCTCCTGATGCTGAGGGGTACTCATCCCTGCCGGAGGCTGAGCGAGCACTGGATCCTGGTGGATCTGGGAAGTGGATTCCCTAGAGATCCTCTGCAATGGGGAATTAATGGGAGGAGGCAAATGCTTTAGCGGAGTAACCCCGGGAGGTCATTGCAGACCGGAAGGAAAAAGCATCTTGTGTTATAAACCCCACAATATCCACCCAGCAAATATCCAAACCACTTCAGATCTCTTCTAAGGTTATTTCCTTAATTCTTAATTCACACATTTGTGGATGCAATTATTTTCCTATGGAAAAAAAAAACCACCCTCCCACACAAGTGAGATCAAAACTATTAACTGGAGTCAGCCACTTGTCACAAGAGCTGCTTGAAGAACAGCGAGCTGTGTTTACCGGTGCTCTAGTAACAAGCAGGAGAGCACACTTTGAAATAATAATTAAAAAAAAAAAATTGTTCTCCTTCTTCAAGAGCGGCGAGCCTGGCTCCAGCTGTGCCCGGCTCCCAGATGTGCCCGCGGGTCTGAGCGTGGGACTCCTGCCTGCAGACTCATCCCACCTGCAGACTCGTCCCACCAGATCAACCAGTTTCACTTTCAGAAATAGGAAGTTCGCCGGGAAGGACCGGCGAGCGCCCAGACGCGTGTGAGGGACGCGGGACGGCAGCATGAGCCGCCCGGCCAGCAGCATGAGCCCGGGATCGCCCCTTCCTCCAGCCTCAAGAAGTGCAGTGGCATAGACCACCGCATCCACCGCATCCGCTGGGGATGGAGCAGTTTGTCCGGAAGCGTTTGTCCTTCCTGACATCCTTCTGGAACAAGCTCCGTCCCCGCTCTGTGCCGGAGAGCTGCTCGCTGGGGTATCTTGGTTCCGATTCTGTTTCGCTGCACTCGGAGCCGAACTCCATTTCCTTCATCCCCAAGTCCTCTCTCTTTATCGCTTTATACGCTTTCACAGCCCGGAGCGCAGAGGAACTGAGTGTAAGCGCAGGGGACAAACTGCGTGTCCTCAGAGAAGAAGGAGAATATGTCTTAGCCCGGCGGCTGCTGGGGGAGCCGGCCATGGGGTACGTTCCTGCTGCGTACGTGGCCAACCTCAGCCAGAGCACCTCCGCTCACCGGCCGTAAGTATCGCATGCTCTGGACCCGTAGCAGGGTGGAGGCTGGACCAGGGTAGCGTGTCCCTGCCCAGGGAAAGGCAGCGCTCACCCTCTGCGACGGCGGGGAGCACGAGCTCCTCGTCCCCTGCTTTTGCCATCAGCGGTGGTGGGACTGAGAGGGGACCTTCTCTCCCCATGAAGCTCCTGCAGCTCGCAGCAGCCGGGTGGAGGCGTTCACTGCATCCCGGCTGGGGGATGTGCTGGGGGGGCAGAGATGCTGGTCCCTCTTCCTGGGCGCATCACTCTCGCACAGGATGAGGTGGCTCTGGGCTGGGACGCGATGCCGTGGTGTGCACGGGTGCAGTTACAGTGCCAAATAAACGGGCTCCTGCTTGTTCTGGTTCCTTTCCCTCTTGCCCCGCATTAAAGAGAAGGCAGCAGGCAGAGAGGGAGCTGGGGAAGCTTCTGCCTGAGCCCTGCCAGCTCCAAAAAGCTGGGAGCGTGGGGAGAAGCAGTTTGGGTTGGGACCTGCCGGGAAGCCCGGAGCCCTGTAGGGCCAAGCCGTGCCACTGCTGCTGCTGCCCTCCGGCTCCTGCTCATCCGGGGCCAAGGGCTCCCTCCCTGTCGGTGCCTCTCCCACCTGACGTGGAGCTCGGGTTGATGTCTCAGCCCTGTCTCAGCTGGGGAAAGCCCAGGCTCATCATTGCGTAAGGCAGCCTGGTCCCGACACGCCAGGCAAAGCGCCCCGAGAAACTGCTGCTCCCTCTGTGCCAGGCCCTGAGTCATGCTGAGCGACGGCGAGCGTGCAGACAGGGAGGGTGTAATCGCCCTGCAGACTCCCCCGGCACTCGCCTTCCACTGCCCGGGAGCAGGGGTAAAGGAGAGGAGCAGGGGGAGCCTGGGAAGGGGCCCTGAAGTGCAGGGGCAGTGATTGCAGCCAGTGGGATGGGAGAGACCCTCCCTCACTCGCCTCCCTGCCTGTGCTTTGGAGAAAGGCAAATCCAGTTTGGTTTGGAGCGTGCTGGGACCACACCGGTGAGGACCACGAGGTCGGCTCGCTGCTTTAGTCCCAGCACACAAAACAGCTGGGAGGCTACAGCTGAGCGTGCGTGTGCGTGTGCATGTGTGTGTGTGCACAACCCGTGCGCAGTTCGTGTCCAGCCCATCCCCAAGACGGAGGCGAGGGGGATGCCGTGGTGCGGGAGGCAGCGAACGTGCGCGGCTTTGCAGCCGGAGCAAGCCGGAGTGAGCTGCGAGCACGCAGACTCTGCGGAGCCGCAGGTCAGAGCTGGGTGGTAATTTGTTCAGCTGTGTAACCCCATCACGTATAATTTCCTGCATGGCTTCTCAGACGCTGGCAATCCCAGTTAATGATGAAACCTTCAGCTTCTCACGTCCTGGCTGTATTGGGCTGGATGAAGCAGCCTCTTCCCCACGCTCCTGTGTGTCCCACCGAGTCGGGACCCAGCCAGGCAACCTGCCTTTTCTTGCTGGAGATTTGGTGACAAATCTCGGCGCTGCTTGAGCACAGAAGATGGATTTGGCTGGTTCCTCCCTCCTGGCTCGGTGCTGCTGAGGTCCCTGACAGCACTGCCACGTCTGAAGCAGCAAAGGGCAATTCCCAGCGATGTTTTCATTGATGTGATCATGATTTCTCTGATGCTCATGGGCTCTGAGAGCTGGTTGTGTCCCTGAGCTGGAGGTCAAGAAGTGCAAAGTTTTGCTCTCGTGGCAAAACGTGTGGGTGCAACCCCCCCAGAGCATCTTCCACGCAGCCCCAGGTGGCCGGTGCTTTATTCCCTGCAGGCTGTCAGCCCAGGTGCTCACCTCCCCACTGCACTGAGCCACGGGCGTAAACCTCCTGATTTTGGGACAGAGCAGAGACCTGGCCAGGTTGATACAGCGGTGACAAGACACTGCTGGAGGAAATGGTTTGCAGTCAGCAAAGTTAGAATAAAATGCAACACGTGCGTGCAAAACCAATCCAGTGAAGCAGCCCCAATGCAGGCTGGCAACGGTGTGCATGGCAGCCGCGTTTACAGGCTCTGAGCCGTGGGCTGGCCGCCGTGCCGCTCGCTTGGTGGCTGCTGGGGTGAGCAAAGGGTGGGAGGGAGCTGCTCCCTGGGGGTGCAGGAGCCCCTGGGGTGGATGCGGCCCTGTCCGTGCACCATCACCTTGCACCGCACTGACCCCTCCGCTCTGCCCCCCAGCTGGTACTTCAGCAAGATCAGCCGGAACGAAGCCGAGCAGCTCCTCCTCTCGCCTCCCAACCAGCACGGCTCCTTCCTCGTCCGGGACAGCGAGAGCAGCAAGGGCGAGTACTCTCTCTCAGGTAATTTTGTGGCAATTATCCAGAGAAAATAAGGAACCAGGCTGTTCCTTAGGGGCAGCTCCTGGCTCGGTCAGCACGGCGTGAAAAACACGGAAATAAGTTTAAAGCGCTTTACAGCATCTTGTTAAAGTGAATTGACTGCTTTCTAAAAGAATGGGGAAAGCTAATAGATGCAGGTATGGATTGCTGAATTACTGTGGCAAAGGAAAGTACATTGCTCCCGTCTGGGGTATGAAAGCCATAAACAATTCACAGCGGCTTAATGATGGCTTCGTAGTGTTAACTCCCAGGATTTCATTCCAGCGGCTTTTATCATCTGAGGGTTGTCTAAAAATACACCCCCACTCCAGGTAGCCGGGGCCTGGGCTGCTCCCTTGTCCAGAAATCTGAACTTAGGGAGTTTCGCACCAGGCAGCGCTGGTACGATCTGGTCCAATCCACATAAAAACAACCTTGAGGCATTCACGGCAAGCCCCGCATCCCGCCCACCGGCCCCCCGGGCTGCGGCATGCCTGCAAGAGGTCCAGCCGCTACTGGTTTATCCACCTCGAGCAGCCATGAACTCTGTCACTCTCCGAGCAGTTCGTTTGCGTGGGGGATTATCCCTGCTAATAAAGCATCATCTCTCCAGTCCAAACAAGCCCCCACACAGGAGTTTTCTGAGCCAGGAGGTGGGCACAAAGGGGGTGATAGGGAGTGGGATGTAATACCCCAGGGGCGAGTTGGGTTGCTTTAGGGTGAATTAATAGACCCAGTGCCTGGAAAGGAGAGAGGGTGAGAGCCAGCAGGGAGGTGGGAAGGAGCCGGTGATTGCACGAGCTGAGTTTTCGCCCGCCTGGGCTTCCCCGCAGTACGCAACCACATGAAGGTCAGCCACTTCCGAATCTGCAAGAGCCCTGGGGGCAGCCTCTACATACAGAAGGGCCATCCCTTCCCTGACATGGAGGAGCTCCTCGCCTTCTACACCGAGCACTGGAAGGTCATCCAGAGCCCCTTGCTGCAGCCCTGCAGCCCCGCGGTGCGTACGCCAATGGCGCAGCTTGGCCAAGGTCCCAAAGATGTCCAGGGTGGAAAAAAGGAAGTAGAAGTTAGGGAAAAATAGAAATAATTAGTCTATCCATTTGGGATTTGAGCTTTGTTAAGCTAAATTTAAAATACACCATTAGGATAGCTGCCAGCATCACTTTTTATCAGCTGTGTTAAAGCCAGGGCATGGCATTTATATGTATTTTTGACCGGCCAAAATGCCTAGGCTTTTCTGAAACGTCTTCTCCACATCAAAGGCTAGAAACTGCGTTGTTACAAATCCCTTTGATACTGAAGCTGGAAATACGTGCGCTTCTGATTTTTTTTTCCTAGAGTATAATAAGACCACATTACTTTTATACAGTTTTCATGCCAATTAGCGTGGCACTCATAAATCCCATTAGAGTATTCATCCCAAATTTCCAACTCATTTCCTGATTAGAATTCCATACACCGATTATGACTTAGAAATAACAATTAAACATGTGAATAATTTGGAGTGAAATGGAAAGGTGTAAGATAAAAGAAATGCTTAATGAGCTGAAAGTCTAAATCAGCCATAATATGCAATAATATTCATTTATTCATTTTTGTTTATTGGTGGAAATGGAGAAAAGCCACCTTTGAGGTCTGATGAGGAGTGAATTATGACTTGAATTCCTGATATTTCATGTAGTGTCCAAAAATCTCCCCCCTTGCACACATTGCCTCCCAGCAGAGGTAATGCAGGGGATCCCCATGGGCTTTGTGCCCCCCAATGAACATTTCGCAGAGGGAAAAGCAATGCACAGGCTGCAACACCAGTGCAATGCAGGTGGTGGAGCACCATGTCCTGCTCACTCCTCTGTGGCCACGGGGCCTTGGTGGGCACCAAGAGGTGGTGCAGGCTCCACCAGCAGGTCCTGCCCGTCCGGCTGGTCCAAGCATCAATGCCCGTTTCACAGACCCCCCCTGAGAGGGACAGCTGGGAACGTCCGCGCTGGGAGTTCACCCTGCGGAGGAAGCTGGGCGAGGGCTACTTTGGAGAGGTGTGGGAAGGACTGTGGAGGAACACAGTGCCGGTGGCCATCAAGATCATAAAAGGTAGGTGGAGAAGCAGGTGTTAACACTGGCCTACTGGGTCTCTCATTCACTGCCACATCGTTCACCCCTTTTAGTTTCCTAGTCCTCTTGGTCACTGTGTCTGTCTTACCAAGCAAACTGTGGTAAGACCTGGCAAGTAGTCACTGGACTACTTCTGTGTACCCAGCTTGGGCTTCACCTTTATAAAATGACTCCATCCAGTAGGTTTGTGATAAGTCACATCAAGTCAAGTCCAATGGGTTTGTGATAAATCAAGTCCTGATGGGACTATGATCCTGAAAATGGGATCCAAAGCCCTGTGGAAAACTTCTTGTGGCTGTTTGGATCTGAGACACAGGGTGTGCAGACACGAACTTTGAGAGCAGGGGTGGGCTGTGAGGAGGAAAAAGGTCCTCGTCCCAGTTGGAGGTGCTGAGCTCCCAATGTCCACGTGAGAAAGTAGCTCACAACGGCTGTGTTGGCTTTCTCCCCCAGCTGACATGAAGGCAGAAGACTTCACCAAGGAGATTCAGAACCTGAAGCGCCTGAGGCATGAGAAACTGATCCAGCTGCACGCCGTCTGCTCGCTGGATGAGCCCGTGTACATCATCACTGAGCTTATGCGGAAAGGCAACCTCCACAGCTACCTCAACAGTGAGTACCGGTGCCGGCACCATGGGGAGTGGGCTCCTGGGGCAGTGCTGCTCTGCAGGTGCTTTTCATGCCCTGGAATGGCCCTACGAACCCAAGTGAGGACCCTAAGAGAGAGGCAGCCTGGTTTCCACCCTGCTTAGGTCAGTGGTAATGCAGAACAATCCAAGGGCACTTGGTGGAAGTGGTCTTGGGGTCACGCAAGAGCCAAAGACACAGTCTGGCGTGATCCTTTTTGTGTCCATGTGGGTTGGGACCCTATCACTCCCTGGGAGCCCAACTGTGCTGGTAGGAACATTCATCCCTCCTTCTTCACCCACCATGGGCTGCTAGCTCCCATCAGTGGACAGAAACCCTTCTGCTGTGCTTGGGCAGCTCTGCCTTTGTTAAGAATGAAATGGCCAAACCTCCCCCTGGGCCCAGCAGCATGGTTTTGTTCACCTGCAGAGCTGGTCACTGGCTGCGGTCCACTCATTACCTGGCCATCAGTTTATTTTTCTTGGCCTTTCTTTTCCTGACCCAGTAATCTGTCTTGAAGGGAAACAAGACAAACAGCTCCCACCAAGACCTGTTTTTCTACTGGGTACACCCCCCTCCTCCCCTGCACTGACCTCATTTTTGGTTGGGGCTCCAGCAGCGTTTGGTGCCAGAGGAGCTGGAGCTTGCAGGTAGGATGGGTTGAAAGGCTCAGCTGGAGATCTGCATGGTAGAAAGTCACCTTTAGCTTTGAACGAGCCACAGACATCTGTGTCCTCCTTGCAGTGCAGGGTGCTCTTCAGAGCTCACCCCAGTCCCGTTCTTGAGGAGCACATGGCTGTGCTGAACTTCCCACATGGCACAACCAGGACAGTTAGGCAGGACCTCCAATTTGAGGTTTTACATGTTCCCCTGGTCCCACGTTGCTGGCACAGGGTCTCCTTCCAAACCAGAACACCCAAAACAGATGTTGCTAGACTGCGCCCAACACTTGGATCGTCTGGGTTAACAGGTCCTGAAGGGAAGTCCCTGGACACCTCCCACCTGCTCAACATCGCCTGCCAAGTGGCGGATGGGATGAGGTACCTGGAGGAGAAGCACATTGTCCACCGGGACCTGGCGGCCAGAAACATCCTGGTGGGAGAGGAACTCACCTGCAAAATCGCCGATTTTGGACTTGCCCGGCTTCTCAAGGTTGGTCAGTGGGATCCTGTGGTCCCTCCCATTATCCCAGACCACCAAACTGCCCCATGCTGCTGCCGTTCCCCTGCCAGCCCCTTTCCCAGCCCACAGCCCCACCAAAGCCCTAAAAGCAGCAGCTGGGTTCATCATACCATCCCTCATGACCCATCTCCCATTGCTTTTCAGGATGACATTTATTCCACCAGCAGCAGCACCAAAATCCCGGTGAAGTGGACAGCCCCGGAGGCAGCCAACTACCGCACCTACTCCCTCAAGTCCGATGTCTGGTCCTACGGGATTCTGCTCTATGAAGTCTTCACATATGGACAGATCCCGTACGAAGGTAGGGCTGCCAGCCCCCTCCAGCGCTGCTCTGACCACGTGCCGGGCAGCTTGCCCATGGTCCCCAGAAGCCAACATGTCACGAGTTGTTATATTGTCCCTTCCACGAGGGATGTGGAAGCAGCTCCTAGAGCATGAGCAAGTTATTGTCCACTTTGGGAATTGCTTAGAGGGCATTTCAGTGCTTGCAGAGTGGGTGCAGGAGCTGGGGGCAGGAAGGTGGTATGGACTGGATGATCTCCCACAGCCTCTCTCTGTGGCAGAAAGACACCATTTCACAGCAGCGCCAGTTGACTCTTGGCCCACTGCAGGTGTACCTTCAGGGCATCCTTTGGGGACATTAGATTCAGGGCCATCTTCTCCTTCCTTGCAGGAATGACAAACCAAGAAACCGTAAGGCAAATCACCAGGGGCTACCGCCTTCCCCGGCCCAGCTCCTGCCCTCCCGAGATCTACAGCATCATGCTGGAGTGCTGGAGCGGCAACACGGAGGAGCGTCCTACCTTCCTGGCCCTGCGGGAGAAGCTGGGCTTCATCTACAGACGGCTGCTCAGCTCCCTCTCCTGAGGGACCCCTTCCACCATCCTTCCCGCACAAGTCCCTCCAGGCCAGCTCTTGCCAAGAAGCTCCTTCCTTCTGGTTTGCCCTGTGACAGGGCTCCAAGGAAAGCACATCTCCCCCAAAACCAGCCCATGGTCCCTCTCGGTCAGGATTCAGGGAAGTGGCCAAGGGAAAAGGCAATGAGTTGTAGAGAACTCATTGCCAGCGCTTGGCTGTGTAGCAGTCTGGAAAAGCCCTGTGGTAGTGAAGGCATCACCCAGAGTTTACATCTTCATTCAGCCAGTAGGGTGGGAGGTCCCTGCCGCTCCCCACGCCAACGTGAAGGTTTGCAGTTTGTGTTCAGTTGTGGCTCCGCTTGATTTTTCTTGTAGTGTGTGTCCGGTGTATTTATCAATAAATGTGTGTGCATCCATCCACGTGAGTCCTTGCAGGGCATCGCTGGATGCTCAGCCCTCTCCATGCTGCTCCCCTCCCTTCCCAGGAAGCAATGGTTTGCAACCAGTCCCACGCTTGCAACCACAGATATAACCATCTTGGGGTCTTTTTGGCCTCTGTTCATCCAGGTGTGCATTAAACCATGTGCCTGTGCCAGCCCTTTCCCAGGCAGCAGCCCTGTTCCCCCCGAGGTCCCTCACAGGCAGCTCCTGCCTGGGCTGCTCCACTCTGGTTCCTTCTCTTGCTCACCATCATGTGGTTATTCTGAGAAAAATGTATATCTGGGTTCAAATACTTAACGCCTGCTTAGCCCAGGTGCAGGCAGCACTCGGTAAAACATTGCTTCACCCTGTTTTGCTCTTCAGCAGAGCCATGGTGCAAAGCCAAGAGATGCTCCCACCACCCCCAGCTCCTCGCCGAGCCCCTCTCGCTGGTCCTGGGCTACAGCAAGGCAGCAGGACCTTGAGCCTCTTGCCCCCCGTGAGCTGAGGGGAGTGTTTGCTCTGGCCAAGCACCTTTCCCCCCTGCTGTGCACGCTCTCAGAGGCTGGGCTGGCCTTGGCAGCAGTGGAAGGACTCGCTGAAAGCAGCCCCGGGAGCAGTGCCAAGGCCTGGGGCTGGTGCAGGCAGCCTCGGGCTGGCCCGAGCGGGGCTGCTCGAGCACTGACACACTCGGGGCACCGGTGGTGGGGAGCATGTGCCATGGGTGAAAGGCAGCTGGGGCTGCCTGGATTTAGGTTTCCTCCTGACAAGCCCATTTTGCCTGTTCGCAGGAGATGGGGGGACCGGTAGGACTGAAACAACAGCAGGGTTGGACTATATAAAGTTAATAAAGTTTATGCAATACTCTCCCTGTCTGAGCAGCATCCGTGCTGTGCAAAATAGCAGAAACAAGTCTGGCTGTTAATTGAGCAAGTCTCTGTGCACGAGGGGCCTGGAAAGGGGAGGTGGGAATGTGGTTTAGATGTGTGATAAATTGTGATCAGGCCACGCTTCCTCTGAAGCTCAAGCAAGGGCGAGGCGGCTGCTGAGCCCTTGGGTGCTGTGGCTGTGCCCCGGGAAGGTGGCAGCTCCAGGTTTGAGTGTTCACAGCTGGAAAAAGCAACAGGTTGGGTTTGCCATGGTGTTTGCACATGGTTGCAAGAGGAAACCCTCATCTTGCAAAGCATTTTGCAGCCTGATCAAACACCCAAGCAGAGAGCACACGTATGCACAGCCCAGGTCCCCTCCTACGAGAAACTAAAGACCGAAGCCGTGTCCGGCTGGTGATGGACTTAGTGCATGCCAAGAAAGGGCTGGCACGCTTGGGGTGCGGGCACGGCAGGGCTGTTGCAGCAATAAAGAGATTAAATTTGCAGGTCTGGCTGCCACCAGATGGAGCTAAAAATTAAGCAGGAGAAGGGTGTGCGTGGGGTGCCCATGGCGGTGGGGCTGGCGTGGGGAGCAGTGGTGGATGGCCGGGGTCCCTCCAGAAGCCGGCGGGGCGGGGCGGGGTTGAGGGCGCCCCGGGCGCCTCAC